AAAAAAAAAAAAAAAAAAAAAGAAAGAAAAGAAAGAGAAAAGAAAAAGAAGAAAAGAAAGAGAAAGAAGAAAAAAGGAAGAGAAAGAGGCCAGGCACTGTGACTCACGCCTGTAATCCCAACACTTTGGGAGGCCAAGGTGGGCAGATCACCTAAAGTCAGGCGTTCAAGACCAGTTTTGTCAACACAGCAAAACTCTATCTCTACCAAAAATACAAAAATTAGCCGGGCACAGTAGTGGGTGCCTATAATCCCGGCCAGACTGGATACTATCATCCAGGAAAAAGAGTGTTGGCCAGAGTATGAGGCAACTCTACAGATAGGATTTCCTGATTATTCAAGCCACAGAGCTGAATATGGCCATTTCAGAGCTCCCAAGTTTACATAACAGTTCTAGCCATCCCCAGAGGCTAATTTAAACTTCTCAGTTTTATTTTCAACCTCCTAGGAGATATAATCTGATTGGTTCAGCGTGGGTCATTTGTCTTGGGTCATTTGATTAACCCTGGTCCAATCAGCAATGGCTTCGGGGACTGGATTATGGACTATAAACTGATTCCTGGGAAGTTAGTCCCTGTAAATTGAGTGGCAAGAGGGATAGAGGCCCATTTCGCAGAGAAAAGGGATGGTCATTGGCTTCCAGGCTGAGCAGACACTTAAAAAATGATCTGAAATGATATCCATCAATTCCATAATCATAAAAACTGATTTTCATTTTGAATAAAGTCATTACTACTGAATACTTGTTGTTACTCTTTAGTATAGAGTTGTCCACACTACCATAAGAATGACTCTGACATGGCATACTCCATCATGACAGTGCTGAGAAATTCCTGCTGCAACTTATGTACATGTTTCAGAAGACATCCTAAAGTTGCATGTAATTGACTGGATGTTTCCTTTATTTCAGTGTCTTCTGGGATCTCTTACAACTTGGGAACAGAGATCATGTCACATCTGGTGGACCCTACATCAGAAGACTTGCCAGTTAGAGACACAGATGCAATACCTCTGGTGCTACCAGCCTCAAAAGGTAACTTCTACGCCTGAGGATGGACACCTTTTAGAATTAAAAGAACTCTCATTGTAGAACATTTTGCTGGCCTTCACAGAAACTGATTTACTTTCAGCTCTTTTCTTCAGTCTTCTCACTTTTTTTTTTTTTTTTTTTTTGAGATGGAGTCTCACTTTGTAACCCAGGCTGGAGCACAGTGGCGCAATCTCAGCTCACTGCAGCCTCCAACTCCTGGGTTCAAGCGATTCTCCTGTCTTAGCCTCCCAAGTAGCTGGGATTACAGGTGTGCACCACCACGCCTGGCTAGTTTTTGGATTTTTAGTAAACACAAGATTTCACCATGATGGCCAGGCTGGTCTCGAACTCCTGACCTTAAGTGATCTGCCCTCCTCAGCCTCCCAAAGGGCTGGGATTACAGGTGTGAGCCACTGTGGCTGGCCCTCTTCTCACATTTTATTCTTAAATTCCTTTTTTTTTTT